AACATCTCTCTGTTTTCTTTGAAAATCTGGAGTTCTATTCTCTTCTCTCTGTTCAACCATTAAATTGTTTTTTAATGTGGTGTGGTATATATGATTACTTCTCTTCTTTTTTTTTCCTTTTTCTGGTTTTATGTATTATAATGAATTGTGAATTTACTGCACGTATTTTACTGATACGTTATTAATTTTTCTATTTTTTGTTATCTTATTTTGTATGTACTTGAATGGTGTTCTCGATGTACGGACAGACCCTCATGGGTACTGTCAGATGCAAATAAATATATAAATATAATCAACTACCATTCATCTCTTTTTCTCATGACTGTAATCCTGAATGAACACTACTTCAAATTATTAACATGGCTTTCAAAAAGTGAAGAAAACGGGAAAAACAAAAAAGTCAGTTTTCTGTAACCCGCGTTCCATCTGCTCTGAATCTCATTAAAAGGCAGTGCATTTGTAAAAGAAAATTTCATCTCATTTCGGTTGGGAATTAAATGAAACATTATTAGTCCTTCTTCCTTTTTAAACAAAAAAATGGCGGCTATTCCGAACTCTGCTGGTTCTCGTCCACCTTGGTCTCGTTTAAAAGACCGTTTTCAAGAGCTCAATTTCTTCAGTGGTATTGAAGAGAAGACCGCACACGACGTACGTAATCAGCACCTGAGTACTCGTATATTTCTCGTTCTATTCACCAGTGCACTCGTTGTACTAGTTCTCTATACGTCAGTGGAACCGATAACTGTGACAAAAACCGTTCAGCAGCCAAATTTTTCTACATACAAACAGCTGAATGCACACTATACACAGACACTTGTCTGTCCGTGTAAGACAATAACAATTCCGTACGACAACTTCATCTCATTTGACCCCAAATATCATCAAGTGTGTCAGTCAGATTTCGTTAGTGAACGGTGGATTGAATATCTTCTACGTTCACAACATTCGTTTTATTTGGATATACGTCATGTGGGTGGCCCAGCATTTCAACTTTTGGCAACATTATGTTTACTATCGCAACAAATTATAAACAATGAACTATTAGTATTCTATTCTACTACATTCATAATGGATACATTGGTATCCGAATTAACTTTTAATCAGCAAGTCTTGGCGTTAATTAATACGTTTAAAGATAGAACTAAGAATTCATTTACCACCACATTAAGTTCAGTAAAAGATCTATTACAATCCAACGCATTGGTGACTATACTACAGACAAACTACGCTTTAGTACACTCCAAAGACTCTGATGATCCTGCTACTTTTATATCCTATCATGTCTATGACGGTTTATGTTCATGTTTAGAATCATCTTTATGCGTAGAAGAAGCTAGTATCTATCAGAATGTAGATGGTAGCATGCAACCTATCTTTAATATTAGTAATTTTCACACTGGTTGTTACATTATCGAAGCTCTTCTTCAATCGAGTCTTGCCTATTTCTATAATCAAACGTCTGTGTCTGAATTACAATCATACTTTGATCTCAGTAATAATAGTGAGAAATTCAATATAACAGCACTTGATCTATCTATACCGAGTAATTATACACCGACAACAGCAATCAGTGATCTACTCAATATGTTAATGACTGAAGATTGGAATTCAAAGACATCCTTTGAGTCTTATTTCAATGTGTGTCAACCACTGTCGTGTACCTACACATACAGTGGACATAATGACTTTATCTATGTCGTTACGACCGCATTTGGATTGATTGGTGGAATTGCAACAGCACTTCTTTTTCTTGTACCATTAATCGTTGGAGTTATTCGAAAAAATGAGAATCCAGGTGTGATTAACGAAGGCAATAGGGGTAAGATTGAGTGATGCGTAGATTAGGGGTGTCATCTTCAACGATGGAAAACGTAAAATTAATGTGAGAGCCCTAGCGTAGACTTAACCTCGACTACAGTAAATAGAAAGATAAAAGACTCCGTTTGTCGAAGCGGTCCTCATTTTGTTCCACTAGAATGTAGAAAATGTAAGCATAATTCTATTCATTTTATTGTTCATTGATTAGGACCATTACTGACTTACCGAGATCGTCTGCTTCTAATTTTGTCCCATATCAACGACGCAATGCGCACATTCAATATATTCAAACATCCCGAAAAGAAACGTCCACGTGATTTAACCAATCAATACTATTCCACTCGTATCTTCATCATTTGTCTTACGATATCAATGATCATACTCGTCCTCTATACATCTCTGACAACTGTAACTATCACCCAGAAAATAAAACAACCCTCATCATTCCAGTTTTCGCAGCTCTATTCGAAATATCCTCAAACTTTAAATTGTCCCTGTACACATCTTTCAATTGAATACAAAGACTTTATTTCTTTTGAACCAGTTTTTCACCAGGTGTGCTCAAGTGATTTTGTCAGTCAGTCGTGGTTAATATATAATACGATAAGTTACATAAGCTCAATCTCAAATGATGTACGTCTGAATGTAGACGATTTTCGTGCCACAATGTCAACGTCATTTAGCACATTGCTAGCTTTGTGCGAATTATCCAATGAAATTGTTTATAATAATCTTCAATATTTTAATTCTACAAACTATGTTACGTCAACCGCAGTCAGCGAAACACTGTTTCAGGCACAAACCAATGAATTCGTGGATATTTTTCAACAGACAACAATAAATTCATTCAAAAATTCATTGGAACTTGTCCGTGAACTGACACAAGGCAACGCCTTGGCAGGGCCAGGAACAAATTACAATTTTAGGCTGTTAAATGGTTCAGCATTCGAATTTGTGTCTATACCATTGTATCAATACGAATTAACAGGTGAATTATGTTATTGCAAGACTAATATCTCATGTGCTGCTCGATCAATGATTTACACTGTAGATCATACTCCTCTCTATACAATTCCAAGTTTTTATTCGGGTTGCTATATTATTGAATCACTATTATCGTCCACACTTGAATGTTTCTTTGACCGGTCATGTTTGGATGCAATCAATACATATATGTACAACATTTCAGCATATCCATTTAATGCAACTGTGTTAAATTCATCATCTAAAAGTAAGTTTGCAGTTAATTCAACGCTACGTCAAATTGTACAACAACTGATGGTTGAAGAATGGAACAGTGAAGTATCGTTCGATAAATATTATAGCTCGTGTGCACCGGGGGAGTGTACTTACACGTATCAAAAACGTACAGATTTAATTTATATTCTAACAACAATTGCCGGTCTACTAGGTGGCTTAACGACGATTTTCAAACTGTTGATACCACCGGTGGTTGCATTCTTCAGACGAACGAAAGATACGGAAGCTGGAGAAAAAGAATCATTACACGCAGAAAGTAAGTGATGAATGAAATAGTTCGAAAGCAATTTAAACGTAATACTGCTGTCAGCCTTGTACTAAGAACTCTTAAAGTTGAGGCATTTAAGCGACGTATTTATTTGCGTGTAGTGTTCTGCTAAGTGGACGCCCTTTTGTGACCAAAGAATAAACCGATATCTAACAGTTCAACAACAAGATCAGTATATTTCTATTTCAGCTGTTAGTAGCCGTTTAACTTTATTGTGGAACAAACTGATAGATTTAGTGATGAATGTAAATTTGTTCAAAAATTACAACAAGAAATTTCCATACGATTTAAAAAACCAGCAGATTTCAACGTGGTTGTTTCTTATTCTTCTACTCATATCTCTCATCATTCTGCTCGTCTATTCATCGCTTCAAAAACTAACTCAAACCATCACAATCAAACATACAGCATTCTCTGCCTACAACCAATTGTTTCAAAAGTATCCAGAAACACTTACCTGTCTCTGTTCCAACATTACTGTTGACTATCAACAGTTCGTTAGAATTGAACCCCAATATCACGAGGTGTGTCAGTCAGATTTTGTCGCTCCGGAGTGGATAAAGAACGTTGGCTATAAAGAATCTCTGGTCGTTCTAACAAATAAAGACGATTTCAGACAGATTGCTGGCGTTACATTTCAACTTCTGTCTAGTTTTTGTGAATTGGCACAGAAAACTATTCAAAATGAATTAATTACATTTAATTCAACAAAATTTATTTCGGTCAGTGTCATTTCACAGAGATTATTTCAGTCGAAGACGGAAAGTACTATCCAAACGTTTAAGCAGACAACTGTTAGTACATTCATACGATCGTTACAGTTAGTGCAGAATATTACTAGAGGAAATTCATTTATGAGTGGACTGTTGACAAATACACAGCTCAGTCTTATTCCTTTTGTGCTACTGCCTGATAGTTACTACGATTATTTACAATATTCCGATCGTACTTATAATGAAACAATTGAACAATGTGATTGTAGAATAGAACAATTTTGTTTCCAGCAAGCGGCAATCTATAAGATAACATTACCTGACTATGATTATGGTTGGCTGCAATATATTTCGACTGCAGAGGAAATCGGCTGGCAGTCAATACCAGGTATCAATGCGTTTATTTTTGACAAACCAAATTGCTAGGTAAAAGCGGCCGTAGGGTAGCAGGCAGGTCGGACTTGTGACTTCGTAGATATATCGATGTCTTATGGAAATCTTATGAACGAAACTTGTTTTCCACTTTCCTGATAGACAAGAACTTCGAAGCTTATGATAACCAATGACTAACGTAAAGTTAATCTTTTGAATTTTACTCTGCTCTAGGACTGTATGTCGGATGTTACATAGCTGATGCACTTCTACATTCTGATCTTCGATGTTTTTATGATCAATCATGTCTCTCTACATTACTCAAAGCAACGCAATATCCGCCCGATAATATAACCAGTCTCAATTCATCAGTTACAAGTCAATACACGACAACAACCAGCATCGATCAATTAGTACGAAATCTTCTAATTGAACAATGGAATAATCAGACATCATACGAATCATATTTCGATGCATGTCAGCCACTATTTTGCACTTATTCTTACGTTAGTGGTGCCACATTGATTTATGTTATCACAACAATCATCGGACTCATCGGAGGACTTACCAAAGTCTTCAAATTCATTATACCATTAGCTGTACGAATTGTCCGTCGTTACGTGTGGTCATTTATTAAACAAAAGTTGTCATGGTTAGATATACAAAACAATACGGTAGTACCAATCCCTTCGGCATCTACGAATGGAATTGACAATGAAAGACTTGCAACAATTTCCTAAATGATCATATATATATACAGTGACTCGAAAAATTCATCATACAGCGCAGATTTTTTCAGTATTCAGTTCATACAGTGCAAAAAAAACCTAAAAGAACAACGTTTTCGTTGTTGGACAATGAAAAAAACATACGGCATTTGTGCATAATTCTCTTTCACTGCACAAACGACAAAAATATCCCGAAATTTTTCTTCTTAATAGCGTTTTAGATAAATAATTGATAAAATGACACCAAATCGACGGGAGTATTCTAATGATCTTCGATCTGTTGTCGTTCAACATTTTCTCAATGGTGATTCCTATACAGAAATTAGTAAAAAAACATTTGTCAAACGACCCACCGTGCAATCGATGATCAAAAAGTATAAAAACACAACATGTATTGGAAACATAATTGGCCGGGGTCGTAAACGAAAAACGACCGCCGCAGTCGATCGTATAATTCAACGTAAATTAAATTGGACCGTCGAAAATCGGCATTGTCAGTGAAAATAGAACTTGAACAAGAATTAGGCGTGGTAATTCATGAAGATACGGTTCGTAATCGTGCACTTGAAATTGGTTTTTATGGCCGTACAGCACGCAAAAAACCTTATGTAAATAGGGGTAGTCGTTTTAAACGTATAAAATATGCAAGGCGTATGTTAAAACAGGCGTTTGGTTACTGGAATAATGTCTTGTGGTCGGACGAGTCACAATTTAATTTGTTTGGTTCGGACGGGAAAGTTATGGTTTGGACAACGCCGAAGGAAGCATTTGATCCCAAATGCACGGTAGCAACAGTCAAACATGGTGGCGGTAATTTGAAAGTGTGGGGATATTTTTCGAGAGCCGGTGTTGATAAAAAATTGTAATGATCTTAATTAACAACTATTTTTTTCTACCAGAATAGAAACATTTTCACTCTAACTTTTACTTTTTATTCCAGAATGAAAGCAGTGTGTTTTGATTCATTTGTATCGGTTTCTTTTTAACGGTAGCGGTATTTTCGTTTTTTCTGGAGTTTTCAACGTCCCTTCATTACTTTCACGCTTTTTATCATCGTCATCATCTCCAAAATTAATTAATTTTGGATCAAAACTGTACCCAGGAACACAACTTAACGTTAAAACGTCATCGCTGTCCCACGTATAACCTAGACGACGAAATGCTTATTAACGTAATTCAAATTCGCTCGGCTTTGGTCGCCCCATAAAGCAAGAGGGCTTTCATCCATATTACAACTATCTCTCTCAAGAAATGAACCTGTAGCTCCTAAATTGAGTACTCTTTCACTACTTTTGCGTAAAAAAACATGAAATAATTTTATTCGTTTATGAGCCTCTGACAGTGGTACTTTTTGATGTCTTTTTGGTCGTTGTAGTGAAAGATGATGACAACGAAGAAAACGACACTACCATTTATTCGCTGGTTGAACTGTATTTAAGCCAATACAGATTTTAGCACCTTGTCTAGCTAACAGTCTGAAAGTAATTCTTTCTTTCTTAATTATCGTTGTTTGGTGTTCATCCTCGGGTGGCGTTTGTTTCGTTTTGAACCATTCAAATAATTTTACATCTAACTGAACATGGTGTAATTTTTTTCCAGCGCCTTTTAAACGTTTCAAATTCTTTCCCTTTTTTGCTCCTCTTAATGACAAAAAATTTTGTTCTTGACTCGCCCAAGTACGTATCATCTTTCGACTGCATCCATGTTCTTTTGCAACTTGTTTATAATTTTTAACCGCTTTGTGATATTTAATAGCCGCTAATTTTTCGTCAGTACTCCACGCTCGACGTTTCGTTTTATTTTGATCTGATTGTCGATCATTATTATCATCAACTTTCTGCATATCAAAAAATGGACTTATGATTGGAGTGCTAGCCGTAATTGATGCAGGTTGTTGTGAATCATCATTAAAGTCGTCCAAATCACTGCTTTCATCTGATATACTCATTCTTGTTGTAATATCAATCATTCTTAATATTTCACCAAGTATACTATAGCCATCTCCCGTATTAAATACAATCTCATCATTAGATGTAGTAGAAGAACAATCTGAGTCTGTTTCTTCTTCTTCATGGGTTAAATTCAGCAGTGGTAATAAATGTCTTTCCGATGACATATATAACAGAAGTTCAATAAACAATATTTAGCGCGTACCTACTGATACTAGTGTATTATTCTGCCTTCCCTATCTCTGTTAGAATCTGAATTTTTTCTATTGGTTGCTTCTATTGGTGCACTGGAGACCCTATGACGCGCAGTTTTTTCAACTGCATGTCGAGAGTTGATATTTACATAACAAAACAGAACTGTCTTCGTAAAAGAAGTGTAGCATATTAATTAGAAGACCGGGTGACTGGTAAGTTTCAAGTTTAACAATGAGTGAAGTTCGTGGCTACAGCAATTTCTCAGATATGGCAGATTCCACAAGCTTTTCCGCTCTATAACATTATGCCTATTGGCTTACTCGCGCTTAATTATCAAGCAGTTTGAAAGCAAAAAAGAGAAAAATTTATCATAACTTTATCATATGCTGTTACGACAGCACGCCAGCTGATGAGAAGACAGGAAAATTTATTTTGCATAGACTGACGCACATTTTCGTCCTTTTTTAAAAAGTTTCTAACAATAATGATTTTTTTTATCGCAAATAGAAGACCATGTCGAGAGTAGCATCAGCTGTGAAAACTGAGTTGAAACATGCGTGTTTCGGATTTTCTATAGCAGTCTGTATTCTTCCGATGTTTTTGAAAGACTCAGAACTCACGTTTTCTCGAAATTCAGTACTGCGTACAAATTCAAAGTATCTGTACGCAAATCAGTTGGATGACGACGCGCGCACGTCATCATCCAACTGATTCCATAGTTTATCTGAGTCGGTAAATTTACTACTTTGAGTCGAAAAAAATAAGCATTTTTCAAAAATCGGATTTTTCAGCATACGGTTTTCTAGTAAACATTCAAAATTTCTTTTAATATGCATGTCACCAGAGCATCAAATTCTGAGTAAAATGCTATATTATTCAAATTTTTTTGATCGATTTTCAGAGAACTGCAGCATTTAAAATTCGACTGGACGAAAAGTCCAGTGGAAAAACTGCATTTTTGAAAGTATGGTTTTTTTGTACACAAATGTCGCATGAATTATAATATAGTCTTTTACTTCGAATTTGATGCTCTATCGAACTGCATATTAAAAGAAATTTCGAAGGTTTACTAGAAAACCTTTTGCTCTAAAACCCGATTTCTGAAAAATGCATATGTTTCCTTGAAACTGTTTAATGAACTATTGCTTGCAATATGTCAGAAGATAGAGCGGAGTTTGCTCTGCAAAATGCATATTCAATTTTTTACGCTACCTTGTATATGAATCGTGAGACTCGAACAAGAGAGACTTTTTGTGATCATAACGTTTTGGTCGACGTGATATGTGTGTCTCTGAGGTGACAATAAACATTTAGGGCCTTTCTTGTAATTCTATAACTTTGCAAAGAAAGGTCGTGTGGAGCTGGCAGATATCTCATTTTAATCAGAATTCCGCGGGCTACAGTCGTAACTTATTTAGAAAAACTCTTCCGAAGAGTTGGATTTTTCGAAGTTTCTAGAAAACCGGTTAGGAGAGGTCTATGGGCAAAACGGCTATCATATTCGGACTCAGCATGATCGATTACGTATAAACTACCGCATTTCGTTAGAAAAGCGGTCGAACACCCGGAAAGATTCCCTCGTTAGTCTCAATGCTTCTTTCAGTATTTTCTCCATTACTGTCACTTTTTCAGCTTCTGCTTCAAAACCTAAAAGAGGAGATGTTTGTTTATCTGTTCTATCCTGACCAGTCTAGACATCTGGTCTCACTATAACGGTGCGCACCTCCACAATTTCTGCA